TTTTTTTTTTTTTTTTTTTTTTTTTTTTTTTTTTTTTTTTTGCCTTAAACCTGAATCTCAGAATTCTGTCCATGGTCATTCTTGCTGACTTACTGTGTTTTTCCTCATAGTTGAATGGTGGTCCACTGAGGCCTGTCCTGTGATTTCTTTTTCCTTGCTTTACTCTAGATCTTGATTCTTGTGCATTCCTTCACAGGATTTTCTGTTCTGATTTCCCCTTTCCTGGAAATCCTCTGCATTTCATTTCTAACCCCATGTTCCTAGAATGCAGAGAAATTCTAGCTATTGTGTTCCTGTACTGTGAAGATCTGTGGAGGTCCACAGACTATTTGTTATTTATAGGCCAAGATCTATTCTCTTGGAGCTTTCTTTCCTTTGCCTTCCCAGAAGGTGTCACTAGAGGATGGAAATTAAATAATGATTTTAACATAGAGGAAACATGGCCAATTTTTGACCACCCTGCTTCCCTTTTCACAATAGATGTCCTAGTGCTCCTTCGTCCCCTTGTTACCTACTTTTCTGGCCTTCCAGAGAAATGCTCATTCTGAGCTGTTCTGGTGTTAATTTCATTATAGGGCTTCCTCCAGGCCTGCACGTCCTCTAGCTAGTGAGGCCTTTCCTGCTGAGATCCTCTCTAACATCTCCTCCCTTCTTCCGCCGCAGGGGATGTCAGGAACGACATCTACATTACCCTCTTACAAGGTGACTTTGACAAGTACAACAAGACCACACAGAGGAATGTGGAAGTGATCATGTGTGTGTGTGCAGAGGATGGCAAAACGCTGCCCGTAAGGATCGGAGCTGTGTTGTGGATGACAGGACCCCGCTGGGAAGGAGGGCGCTGACCGTAAAAATTTGCTTTTCCTCTCCCCAAATTTGTTCCAAGGTGCCCTTGGGACAGTGTTGACGATTGTAAGCTACACCTTTTGACTATGGTTAGCACAGCATCCCATAATAAGACCTCACATTGCTACCTCTTTCCACCTAAGCAGTTTTACAGCATCTCTTCTTTTCCTGTCATGACTCCTGCTGCACTTCCTTCTCTTTTTTTCGGCCTGGCCTCTGTTTATAGGTTAGCTTTTTGAAGTTAAAATGTTCTTGTTGAAACCCAAGCAGTTTTTTTTCAGATAAAACCCGTGGTAAGAAGGAAGATCAATACAGAGCCTTGAGCTGGTGTACGGGCTCAGGGTGTCCTCAAAGCAGATATTCCAAACACTTAATCCGATGCCCCAGCGCTCAGCTAGAAATCTGGGTGGAAAGCCTTATTCGCAAATTGGTCTCCAGAGGGCTAGCAGACTGTATTCAAGAATGCAAAGCACACGGCCGTATTTATACAGCATATGTCCTGTACAATATTTGTCATGCATGTTTACATTTATTTACTTACATTGCCTTTAAGGTTGTCAGCAGTTATGTCCAGTGTGTGGGAGGGCTTTGCTTCTCAATTTGTCCTTTTGAAATACTTAGCTGAAAATAAAATTAGCTCTCTGCAGAAGGTCTAGCATGGGCAGATATCCCTTTCAGGCCACTGTAAGGGATCAGATGGCAAAGTAGAGTGGGAGTGTTGATCAGAGAGGGGGTGTGAAGATTGATAAGTTATCAGTTCTAGCCTTGGAGCTGGAGCTTAGGCCTGATTTGTCACCCTGTACCCAAGAGCAACTGACATGCGGGGGGGACTGTGGTGTGCTTCCCTTACCACTTCCCTATCTTAACATGGGGAACCCCAACCTTTGTCAAGAAGAACAACTCACCCAAGGTCATACAGTTTGTAGGTGACAGAGATGGGCCTTGATTGCAGATTCCAGGCCCTCTTAAGCGCTTGCTGCACCAGAATGGCTGTACATTTTTAGAAACTTTCTACTTTATATCTCATTTTAAAAATGAGGCTGATATCGGCTTCTGTCAAATTCTGGGAAGAGTCTGAATTATTTTTTATGTGTAAGGAGATCTTTTTTGTCCATGAAACTGGTCCCGTTAATTAATATCTACCTAGAGCAAAATCCTAGCATTTATCTCTTCCTCCTTTTATCACATGATGAAACTTTTCTGAAAAATAAAAGAGAAACCCTTGGCTCAAAGGAACATAAAGGAAGAGCTGAGGGTTTTTACCTAAAGAGGAAAATTGCATTGCACCAATGTATAGACCATTACTTTGTAGTTATTTTTATCTAATACCTGTTGGAGAACTTTTTAACCTCAGCCTCATTTTTAAACATTGATATGCCTGCCTTCTTCCGTGTTGCTGAAGGAAGATGAGAAGGAACAGTTAGCAGGCAAGCAGGTATCTTATCTCCTATCTGAACTATTCTCACTTTCACCTCTGCCATCCTTTCAAGTTATACCTAGGCTGAATAGATGCACTTATCAAAGATGAATAGTAAGCTCACATTCCAGAGGCTGATATAGAAAGGTAACTGTAGGGCATGGTGGTAATTTGTAGTTTCATTTATTAGGGAAGTTATGGGGTGTTCAGTTGATTGACTATTGAAATGCTAAGTAAGCCCATGAGAGGCTTTCTTTCCTTATTTGTGGAAATAAATATTACTGTCTAATTAAGCATCCCAGAGTATATTCAAATACTCTCATTTTATATTGTGGGCTACTAGGGAATAGTACCCTTAAGGAATATCAGTTTCTTCTCCTGTTCCAGGTATACCATCTTTGGCAGAGTAGGACCACAGGGTAGAGTCACTTTGGGGTCTCAAGGACCTTGCTATATACAGTGGGGCCATAACACAGAAGCTAATAGGGAGGGCTCTCAGTCAGACAGAGTTCCGATCTCTTTCCCAATTAGTTGTGTGATCCTGGACGAGGATTTTCATCTGTAAATGAGGAAGGGTAACCTATGCTCGTGGAGTTGCAGGTTAAACAAATAGTAGGTAGGACCTGCTGTGCAGTGAATGCTTCGTAACCGGAGGAGAACAACGTTCACAGAAGGTAGGCCAACTGGAAGGGAAGCCCTCAGAGGAGACTGAGGGAGTCAAGCTGGCAGTCCAGCCTGGAGCAAGTTGCCAGAGAAGTGAAAACGCCCAGATGCAGCCGGGACAAGACACCTGTGATTTTTTGAGGCCAGGCAGCATGAGGTGCTGGAGGCAAGGGCTAGGGGCAGTGTGGCACAGTGGTTAAGACCAGGAGCTCTGGGGCCAGGCAGCCAGGCTCAAAGCTGAGAACAGCCTGGATTAGTAACATGACCTTGAACAGGTTGCATGACCTCTCTAAATCTGAGAGCCTGCCTGAAAATGGGACCAGTAATGACACTTTATTCTTGTGAATATCAGATGAGGTAATCTACGTAATAGGTGTTCATTAAATTTAGTCATTATTATTAGAAAGGTATAATGAGCTGCAGGCCTGATTCTCACCTACAGGTGCTAATTGGCATCTTCCCATGATGTGGCCTTGGTGTGGGACGCATCCTTCACAAGTGCATTCACATCCATGCTGTCAACCTTCCTCACGGGTTCCCACAGAGTAAGCAGGGCCTGTGTTGGGAGGATGGTTTTTTCTCCTGCTGAGATATCTCTTCCGAGACCAAGTCAGCACTAAAGCTTGTAGACTCTGTGAGTCTCAGATTTTCAACTGACCCCGAGTTACATTCACCAGGGCCTCTTGCCATCAGTTGGGGGCCATGAGAATGGATGATGTGAAAATGATTAAGTCTTACTTGAGCCATACAGGGATCTGTATTGTCCCTAGAACTGGGCTCATGCTCTGGTCACAGTGCCATCTCAACGCATGACAACATTCATTCTGATCTCCTCGGTGCTGCAGGTGAGGGTGGTATCTTTGGTCTCTCCCAGTATGATGTTGAGACCTTTTCCTTTATTCTGAGGAAATTAAAAAATTTTCATCATCAAGATAGTTTAGTGAAATTCAGTTGCCTGCTACAGAGCAATTTTACCTTTGCCAGAGATATATATATATATATGTGTGTGTGTATATTTTCAGATTTTATAAGCTACAGATTCACTGAAGCTACAGAAACTGTAACCCATAAATCTCACTACATATAAATCTCTGTAAGGCTATAAGGCCTTTGGGTTTTTACAGGAGGAACACTGGATAGGAGCTGGAGGATCTGGGAAGTAGTCCCAGTTCCACCATCTTTTGGGCAAGTGCTTAGCCACTCTGGACCTCATTGTACCTGGAGGGGAAATGGGAACACTGACAGTAGTCATCAGAGGTGGTTGTGAGGTTGGAATTAAGTGAGGTGGCATGTGTAAAGGGCTTGGAAGATGCTAGCTACAAAGTGTTCTCTAGGTGGCTTGAAAACCTTTGGAAGAATGTTTCAGTTCATTGCCTCAAGAAGTTGTGAAAGGCTTCATACAATAGAAAACCAAGAGGTTAGCATCCTCCTTCATTTCCAGTTCACTGGTTTTCTTTGTTTTACGAGGTAAGTGCTTTGAGAGCTCTCTATTCTATTTTCAAATGGATTTTTTTTCAGTAGATATTATCTGTCAGTAGTGAAACTGAGCTTTTTCTTTTCTTGTTCCTTGGAAGCAAAGCAGGAGTTTCCCAGGGAGAATGGCAGGTCCGCTTTCCCACAGCGTAGCTTGGTTTTCTGGGAGTCACAGAGCACCTACCCATGACCAGCTTTAGTGGCACAACCAGGCCAGGTGGGGGTCAAGGAGAAGAATGGGGTCAGGTGACGAATCTGGGGAGAGGTATGGGCTTGCTCACCATAAAAATGCCCAGAGTCACATAGTGCTACAGTTTTAGGATCTAGGGTTCCCAAACCAATCATCGTGTCCCTAGAAGTCCAGAGGCTGAGATTAAAAAGTAATTATTCTGGTATGAAAACTACATTTAGGCTTTTTCTGGGTGGTCCTAGCTTGGATCTTGTGTTGTGGCTAAAATTGCTGAATGAAGAGGGACGGGAGGGAGAGAGAGAATACGAGTCAGGTGCTGGTAAATACAATTTGAATATAATTCCTGATTTCCTCATTCCTTTCTGAAACTCAGAGGGTCATTTTGTGGCAAAGAATAAGTACGTACAGGGGGATGCATGTTCCATGTTCGCTCTCTACTCACAGTGCTTCCCCCACGTTTCTGCTCAAACCCAACTCGAGATCTTTCTTTCAGAGGCTTTTCTCATTATCTTCCAGGCATCTTCCCTGAATCCTCAGCCGCGCCTAAGTGTCCTCCTCAGTGTCTCTGTAGTCTGTCTGTCCATCGTCACATTTCACATCTGCAGTGACCAATGAGTTGGCCTAAGTCCTCTCCACAAACTGAGCTTACGTCAGGTTCAGTGCCTGACTCGCCCCCATTCCTTGGGGTGAAGCGTGGGCCCAGCCCCCCAAGATGCTCCGTCATTGTGGGCTGAATGGAATCACCATCCCCAAGTCTCAGGCTTGTTCTCCATGGTGGGCACCCAGGAATCTTTCTCCAGCTGGTGCTGTCTCTCACCGCCCAGCAATCCCGCTGCCTACTTGGTACGTTAGCATTAGAACTCCGTCAGAAGCAGTGCTGCCTGGCTGGTCTGAGCCTGTTTGTAAACTTTATGCACATTTCACATCAAGGAAACAAATAGGATTAATAAGACGGGCAGCATGCAGTAACTCCAAGGATGGTTACCATCTGCAATAAGGCAGTCATGTCAGCGCCTGCTATGCTTCAGCGGCTTCCGGGGTGGGAGTAATAGAATTTCTGTAGTTAAGCAGCTGTCATCCCTGGGCCAAGCGTGCTCACATAGAAATCCATCATGTAAAAGGGGCTTCATAGTCCCTGGCAGAAGGTTAGGAAAAGCAGGGTTATCCAAGGTCCTAAGACTGGACTCAGCTTAGGGCCCAAATTGCCCAACCACAGAAAATAGCAGCTCTCCAGTGTTTTCTCTCTCTTTTTGTTTTTCTTGGGTCAGAATGCAATTTGTGTGGGTGCTGGGGACAAGCCCATGAATGAGTATCGCTCTGTCGTGTACTATCAAGTCAAACAGCCACGCTGGATGGAAACTGTCAAGGTAATGATGATAGTAATAACAGAAGCAAACAGGTATGTAGTTCATACAGTGAACCAGACACTTTTTCAAGGGTTTTAGTTAATTAATTCATCTATTGCTTCCCTGGTAGGTTTGCATTATACGTAAGAAACTGGCGCAGAAGTAAGTAGCTTGCCTGTGATTGCATTGCTACGAAGTGTCAGAACTGGGGCTGGAACCTAGGCAGTCTGGCTTTGGGTTTGTGTTCCTCACTTCTCCCTGAGGGAATCGGAATGGACAGAGGCTATTAGCGTTCTTTCTCCTTCCTATGAGAGCAGTCCAGTAAATTAAACCAGAAACCCAGAGTATGCACTATGAATACATTCATGATCATACTTGGCAGTATTCTTGGTCTGGAAAACCAGACTGTACACTTGAGAGGCTGAGGCAGGAAGATTACCACAGAGAGAGAGAGAGAGAGAGAAAGAGAGAGAGAGAGAGAGAGAGAGAGAGAGAGAGAGAGAGAG